GCTCGAACCCACAAACCGCGAGATCACGACCTAAGCGAAAGTCGGATGCTTAACCGACTAAGCAACCCAGGCGCCCGAAGGGAAGATTATTTTTAAGGCTCTGCGTACATATAACTAAACTGTTTTTCTAGTAGACTGAACTCCTTGAGGATGGGTTATTGTATTTTATTAATCTTGTATCCATAATTAGGTAATCCACCTGGCCTGATATAATGCCTGGTGCTCAAAATATGTTTTAAAAAACCCTTTTTTGGGGCGCCTGGGTGGCTTAGTCGGTTAAGCGTCCAACTTTCGCTTAGGTCACGATCTCGCGGTTCGTGGATTTGAGCCCCGCGTCGGGCTCTGTGCTGACAGACAGCTCAGAGCCTGGAGCCTGTTTCAGTCTGTGACTCCCTCTCTCTCTGACCCTCCCCTGCTCACACTGTCTCTCTCTCTCTCTCCTAGAAATAAAAAAAAATAAATTAAAAAAAAAACATTAAAAAAATAAAAAACCCTTTTTTAATGTTTATTTATTTTTGAGAGAAAGAGAGACAGAGACAGAGCATGAGTGGGGGAGGGGCAGAGAGAGGGGGACACAGATCTGAAGCAGGCTCCAGGATCTGAGCTGTCAGCACAAAACCTGATGCTGGGCTCGAACCCACAAACCATGAGATCAGACGCTTAAACAACTGAGCTGCCGAGATGCCCCCTTTTTTTTTTTAAATGAAGTTTTACATCAAAGTAAAATACTACTTCAAAGACTTATGTCATTATGGTCTTTATACAATATCGGGAAACCATCTATCTATCCAACCAGCAGAAAATTGGTCAATTCATGGTGCGGGCAAATGATGGTAGAATATCACCACTCCGTTAAAAAGTATAGCATTTTCAGAGAACATTTAAAAGGAGAGAAATGCTCAGGATGTAACGTGAAGTGGAGAAGGACAACCTATATATACACAATACATTTTTTCTTCTAAAAAGCGATATGCACATATACCATGCATGCACAAGCAGAGAAAAGAAACTCTAAGAAATTAGCATTCTAAAAATGGTTAATTCTGGTAGTAGGAATCTAGGTAAGTGTTCTTTTTTTCTGTTCACGTTTATGAATTTTCTAAGCATCTATAATGAATATTATTACTTAAATACTGCAGGTTACCTACTAGGAAGGAAATAGTTTTTACCAAACTCTCACCAAGTTAGGCATTATAATTTTTTTCCAATTTTGTCTAATCTAAAAGGACGAAGGTGTTATCTGATAAAAAGACACTTTAAAAATAAAAACAGAGATATCAACAACCTTTCTGGTTCCTTATTAGCTAAATACATCTGACCCCTGCAGCCCTGCAGAAGGTCAGGGTCAGCTGGACAGCCCACAAGGGTAAGCATCAAAGATGCTATCTGGCTTCTGCTCAAATACAGAGACACAGTCACCTAAAATAATTCAGGATCCTTAAGTCTATTCTAGTGGGAGGGAACAAGTATTCAGGATTCTCAATTTTATAACCAAAAAAGAAATAAAAAGGCATACTCTAATTAAATAAATAATGGGAGAACCCTATAGATCTGGGCAGTCCAATACAGAAGCCACTTAGCCACGTATGGCTACCTAAATTGTTAAAATTAAATAAAATGAAAACTTCCCATTCCTTGGTCACAGTAGCCACATTTCAAACACTCAACAGCCACATGCAGCTAAGAGCTACTGTACCGAACAGCACATATATAGAACATCTCTTGTAGCAAAAAGTTCTGTCTGCATGGACAGTGCTGCAACAGATACTGAACATGCAGGGGGAGAAAAGCCCAGATTACTGGATACGTAAATGAAATTTGTAACTGAATCAAGAATGTTTATAAAATAGTATGAAAAACTGAAGACTAAAAGACCATTCCCCTTTTAGTTAAACCTGCTGGAGGAAAGGAGGTTACACTTATAACTTACATCCGCTTTTGCTTTAAAACCCTCAAGGCTTTCTGTTTGACCATATTCTGGGGAGAAAAACAGATTTTAATGAAAAGAAGTAGAAAACATACAGTAAAATCTCCCATATCCTCAGACTTACATACTTACTCTCTTCTTCAAAGTTGCAGACATGGTGGCTCCTGGACTCTTCCTCACCTCCCAAGCAGTCTTTAAGCCTCAGTTTGTCTGTCTTTGCATCCCACATCTCAGGGTACTGAACTATATTCCCTTTTCCTAGTGCATATTATCTCCATGGCCACCCCCAATAGTGCCTGTTTTGTATATCCAGTTGCCTTGTGGAGATTCCCAACTTGGACATCCTGCTATCCATTCAAACTCAACATGCCCAAACTCCTCAACCTGTTCTCACCTTGGAAATTACTAACAATGGTCCCACCAATCCCTTACTTCTCTAGAATAAGAAGCTTTAAATCAACCTTACCTTTCTTCTCTCTGTTGTCTCTACATGCAGTCATCTTGTTACTGATTTTCAGAACTCACTTTCAAATTGATTACTCCCTGTCATTCTCATGACTGCCACCATGGTTTAGGCTTTCATCTCAAGTCCAGATGTGCTTTCCTGCCTCTGGTCACTCTTCATTCCATGCCATCCAACTAAGACGGCTGAGAAAAGCCTCTTGTCACTTCCCTTTCTATACTGTTCCATAAATCTTTTTATTTGTCTCCTCCAATGAAGAAGGAAAAGCAGATATTATGTCACAAATAATGTTTCTATGTACCAGACACACTGTTATGTAGGTCACATGAATTACCTCATTTAATAATCATGCTATAAAGTAGATATTATCCCCATTTTATAGATAGGGAAACTGAGGTTCAGGGACGCTAAATAACTTATCCTAGGTCAAATAGTTAATAAGTTACAGAAACGGGAAAAAAAGTAGATAGTTCTATATCCACAGTCCATGCACTTAAATATAGTAATTTATGTTTCTACCAATAGTAGAGGAAAATAGATATTAAGTGACTTTATGATGGTCACGGCTAGACAGAACACTGGTCTCCAGATGCCTTGAGTTCAGTACTTTTTCCCAGCATGGCATTCCTCAACCAGTCTATTATATACACCTAACCTGACCAGCATGGCAACTCACTGTTCTGAGCACGTCCCAGCTCTACTCTCCAGACTGCCACCTTCTCAGTAGAACATGTTAATTCTCATGTATGTGATTCTGGACATGTGGTCAGCATCTTCTCTCCACCAGGCTAAACCCCAGCCCTCCTCTCCTATCCGGCTGCAAACTCCCCTCCCTGAAGGATACAATGTCACATATTTTCTCCTTACCAGAGTGTTAGTCTCTCTTCTGTATCCCTCACCAGCCCCTACTACTGGGCCCTATTTCCACAGGTGCTCAAATTAGGCTGTCACAGTGCCTTCTGTACCTGCCATCACCCTTACCTTGGCAGGACCCTCTCTCATCTTCTTGATCTGATCCTTATACTTCACTAGCTCAGCATCCAGTCGAGAAATCTTCTTGTCAATAGATTCTGCCCTGCTGTCCACCTTAAGGAAACAGTGGTAGTTATCACAATATACTTACATGAGAAGAAGCAGGAGAGGAAGGAAGGGTGGGAAACAGTGGTTCTGAACCAGGGGGACATTCCCAGTCAGAAACACTGGGGAGCTTTATAAACTATATTCCACCCCTCAGCTTCTCATAGTCCAGGGCCCCTTTCAAGTGTGTTTAAGTAGAAAAATATTTGAGACTCACTGGGTTGAGTTGACATTCCCCTATAACTGGAGACTAGTCAGGCTGGGAACTCAACCAGAAGATGTGTGAAATAGTCTAGTGCTGAGAGCTAATGCTATTCGCTTAGATAAAGGGTGGTGGCTTAATGTGAGAGGCCAGAGTTCTGAACTTGTTGTTATGAAGATCATACGGGGTACGGATATGTGGACCTAGGATATCACGCTGAGGGTCCTGACGTGGGAGAGGGATGAAGGATAAAAGAGGGGTAAAGGTTAGGACTGAAGTGGGAAGGATGCGGGCCTACGGCTGGTTGGGGTAGGAAGAAAAGGAAAGAGCAAGTAAACACGGCAATGGGCCTCAGAAAGGGTTGGGTGCAAATAGGGCGAGACACTGATGGCTTAGGGGTCCCTGGTTTGTGACGTCAGGAATGACCTGGGTAACAGGAATGAAGGTGTGGTGGTGAGGGCCGAGGTGTCCGGGACCAGGAATGGAATGGAGTAGGAGCCGGGAGCCGAGGGTGGGCGGGGTCGGGAAAGTCAGAATCCCTCAGTCTATTTATGCGTGGTCGAGTGCCCACCGTGCCAATGCAGTCAGTCAGGCTGGGCGGCGGAGCCTTGGGTTTCGCTTTTCCGAAGAATCGGTTCATCTTGGGCAGCCGCGAAGAAAACCCAAACACTGGAGGAAAACTAGAGACGGAAGCGGAATCACCTCTGCCTCCCCCTTGACTTCCGGCCCCTCCTTGCGCAAGCGCAATGTGCCTATTGGAGTTTCCTCATCCTATTTCCGGATTTTCAGCTCGGCCTTCCGGGGAAGGAGAGCTCGGGAAGGTTGGAGGGGGCAGAGAGTCAGCAGGGGCGTGGCCTCCTTGAAGGGCGTGGGGCGGGGCCTCGGCTGAGGGGGTGGGGCCTCGGCTGCTCTGGTAGAATTCAGCCGGGCCTGCTCCGAGGGGCGGGGCCGGTAGGCCGGCGGGGCCCGGGAGGGTGGGGCCGGCCGGGCCGGGGCGGGGCAGGGAAGCCGCCAGGCTGGGGTTCTAGGCGCGACTCAGCTCCCACCGCTGGGTGGTCAACTAGCGCGGGTCTGGCGGAGCGCGGTGGCGCGCGGAGATCGCGAGGCGACCGGGGCCTGGGTCCCCGGCGGCGAGCCCCTCGGCCTGGCCGGGAGTCGCGCCAGTCGGTGCCCCCGGCCGAGCGCGGTCCGCCTCCCTCTCAGCGATCGGCCGTCCGGAGTGTGGCCAGCGGACATGCCGGATCCACCAGGGGCGCCGCCGGCGGCGCTCGCAGGCCGCGGGTGAAGAAAGTGTGGCCTCGCTCGGCCCGGAACGAAGAGGTGGCCCGAAGTGAAGAGGTGGCCTGGAGCGAAGAGGTGGCCCGGAGCGAGGAGGTGGCCAAGAGTGAAGACGTGGCCCAAAGCGAAGAGGTGGCCGGGAGCGAGGAAATGGCGGCAGGAGGCCTCAGCGTGACCGTCACCCACAGTGAGCGCAGACAGCTGGGTGGGCTCCGTGCCGGGTGGGCTCCGTGCAGGGCTACGAAAGTCCGGTGGGGGTCTGGCGACGTGTCCTCCAAAGGCGTGTGTTCTTGTGTTGGTCCTACGTCTGGAAGTGTGAGGTCTTGTGTTTGGGGCCGGCTTTTTGCGCGGGTCTTGTATCTGCACACCTTTCCAGGGGCCAGTGTATTTTGTCTCAGACATTTGCCTTTTGTTTTATCGTCCGTGTATGTGCTTCACACACATCGTCCTCCTGGTTATATGTGCCAGTGTGTGCCTGGGCAGTTCTTGTGAGTCTTTGTAGCAGGATTGTGTCTGGCCATGTCATATATAACTGCTGTGTGTCTGGACACCTGTGTATGTGCTGAGTTTAAACTTATGTCCCTTGTTTGAGTGGGCATACAAGCATACACTCTGGGAACCCTTTGAGTCTGTCTACTGTTGGAGGTGACACGGCTCTAAACAAACTAAGTCCACCCAAGAGCTGAATCTATGAAGTTGCCTCAGGACTAGGGAGACCCCAGGGCCTCAGAATCTGGAGACCAGTATTCTAGATCCTTCAGTTTTGAGTGACCTTGGGATGACCCCAGGGCCTCAGAATCTGGAGACCAGTATTCTAGATCCTTCAGTTTTGAGTGACCAGGCATCTGGTTTCTTCCCTGTGAAGTAGAATTGGTAACACCTGTCCTGCTGACTTCATGTGGCTGTTGTGCAGGCTCAAGGCTTGGCATATGCCCTGGACATGGGCTATCTCCTTACTGCCCACATACCTGGAAAAGAACTGGCACTTGTGGTTCAAAAAGAAGTTTTCTGCTGTTTGAGTTTACTCACTCATTGTTTATTTGCTGAGCACCAGCCATGTTTGTGCCCAGGTGTGCCCAGTGGAAGAGACCTGGAGGAATAATAATCCCTCACCCATTACAGCAAAAGAGACAGGAACAGTACAGTACAGAGTACAGGGTAGTCAGGCCACAGGAAGCAGATGGCTTGTGATGAAAAGCATGGCCTTGGAAATCAGATAAATGTGAAGTCAAGCTCTGACTTCACAGTTGGGTCTCAATAGGCAGGTCTTTTAATTTAGGTCCTGAACTTAGTTTGCTTATCTGTAAAATGGGAATTAATAGGTAGTACCTCCTAAATGGGGTTGTTCTGAGGATTAAATAAGATAATGTATGAAATGAGCCTAGTCAGTCCTTTATGCATATTAAGTGCTTAAAATGCTAGCTGGTATCACTAGATTGCTAGTTATTATCAAAGAGGACACAAAAATCCTTGAGAAGGTTACCAGACAAAGCTGAGCAGATGGGGGGACAGATAGGCTCTTTGCGGAAGGTGGCAAATGAACTGGGCCTTGAAGACTGAGTAAATAAATATAATACAGTGTCGCTCTTTTTTGGTTTATGTGAAAGAGTTTTCTTCATCAAACACTCTTCTCTGTCCCCAGGCAATGAGAAGCTTGATCTTCATGTTACCCCGCAACAGGGCTGGAGTGAGCCAATTGTTCAAGACCTGGCCCAGGTTGTTGAGGAAGCCACAGGGGTCCCACTGCCTTTCCAGAAACTTATATTTAAGGGTAGGCATTTCTCTTCCAGCTTTGATTCCTTATGGCTAACGGGCCTACTTAAAACTGCTTAACCTTACCTAAAGGTAACTCATAGTTTTCAAACTGGGATAATTCTTATTTGCTTGTTGAGTCATCCATTCCTTCGACATGTATTTTACTGAAGCCCTACTATGTACTGGACACTTTGAAACGTTTGGACAGGTGTTAGAGTTGAAGTCTCATGAGAATGGCAGAAATCTTACCATTTTTGGTGAAAGCACACGGGCAGTGTTCCCTGGCTAAACTAGATCCTCTTCCCATCATGTGCACATGTGGCAATTCTGATCACTTCTGCGTATAACTTTTATCAAAGTTACTATTAAATAATTGTTTTCATGGTTGCTGAATATCTGATTTCCCTGTTAGAATAGCTAACATTGAGGGAACACACTGCTGTGTCCAACACTCAGCATCGTGCTGACATAGAGAAGATGTTGAACAAAATTACGAGGGGTCTGGATATGGCAGACCCAGTAGATGATACTGATTTCTGCCAGGACCCACCTCCCCATCCTATCCCCGTTCTCTCTTCCCATTCCTGAGGAATCCCATATTTGTGGTATCTGATAGGGCTAGATATATCCCATTTGGTGCCAGTCTTAAAGAATTTAGTAATGGGAAGCATTTTTATTTATACTTCATAGCACAACTCCTTGTCTTTTTTTTTTTTTTAAACATTTTATCATGGAATTATAAAAGGCAATAGAAATCCACGTTTCAGGGGTGCCTACGTGACTCAGTTGGTTGCGTTTCCTCTTGATTTTGGCTCAGGTCATATCCTGGGTTGGGATTGAGTCCTGTGTCGGGCTCCACACTAAGCATGGAGCCTGCTTAAGGTTCCGTCTCTCTCTCCCTCTGCCCTTCTCTCCTGCTCTCTCTCTCAAAAGAAAAAAAAGAAATCCATGTTTCAAAATAGAGGAAAGCACAAAGAAGAAAATGTTCTATGTTCTTCTGAATAAAACTCATCTTAGAATGTATCTTATATATATTTTTATTTTTTACTTTTATTTTATTTTTTTTTATAAATGTTTTATTTATTTCTAGGAGAGAGACAGAGAGAGAGACAGCGTGAGCAAGGGAGGGCCAGAGAGAGAGGGAGTCACAGACTGAAAGAGGCTCCAGGCTCTGAGCTGGCAGTCAGCACAGAGCCCGACACGGGGCTCGAACCCACGAACCGCGAGATCATGACCTAAGTGAAAGTCGGACGCCCAACCAACTAAGCCACCCAGGCGCCCCATTTTTTAAAAATAACTTTTTTTAATTAAAAAGTTTTTTTAATGTTTACCTTTTTTTTGAGAGAGAGAGAGAGAGAGAGAGAGAGTGTGTGTGTGAGTGGGGGAGGGGCAGAGAGAGAAGGACACACAGTATCTGAAGCAGGCTCCAGGCTCAGAGCCCGATGTGGGGCTGAAACTCATGGACTGTGAGATTATGACCTGAAATGAAGTCAGATGCCCAACTGACTGAGCCACCCAGGTGCCCCAAAATAAAATTTTTATTTGTTTTATTTATTTTCGAGAGAGAGAAAAAGACACAGAGTACACATAGGGGAGGGGCAGAGAGAGAAGGAGACAGAATCAGAAGCAGGCTCCAGGCTCCAAGCTGTCAGCACAGAGCCTGCCTCAGGGCTTGAACTCACAAGCCATGAGATCATGACCTGAGCCCAAGTTGGATGCTTAACTGACTGAGCCTCCTAGGTGCCCCTTTTATATATGTATATTTTAAAAGTAAGTTTCACACCCAGCACGGAGTCCAACACATGGCTTGAACTCATGACCCTGAGATCAAGAGCTGAGCTGAGATCAAAAGTTGGGCACTGAACCAACTGAGCCATCCACGTGCCCCTTGTTTCAGTATATTTCTATCCAACTTTTTTTTTTTTGTTCAGGCATCCTGAAGTGTGGGTTCTTGTTTGTGTGTTTTTAGTTGACAAAACTGAGATTATATTGACTATACAATTTTTTTTTTTCATTTTTCAGACTAAGGTACTGGCTGAGACATTTTTTATTTTTTTATTTTATTTATTTTATTTATTTATTTTATTTTCTAATATAATATGTTTTATTATTATTTTTACAAATAGTTTATTGGACTATACAATTTTTATAACATTTTTCTTATAATGCTGAGCCACAGCATTTATTGTAGCATTGAAGTTTCCTGAAAAAATTAGCTTTAATGCCTACAAAGTCTTCTACTGTACCGATGTATAGCTAATCAGTCCCCTATTCCTAAATGTTTGTCTTTCCAGTTTCTCACTATTACGATTATGGTTGCACTGAAGATTACCTTGTAACACTTACTGTGTAGGCATATGTCCAGTTATTGTTTAGGAGAAAATTTGAAGTGAAATTACTGGTTCAAGAAACTGTCTGAAAAGACTATTACCAATTTATCCTCTTCTCATTAGTGAACACACTTGTCTGTTTCCTGTACCCTTGCTGAAATCTCTTTTCAGTGTTGTACAATTATTACAACTTGGCATAACTTCTCTTTTCAGGAAAATCTCTAAAGGAAATGGAGAAGCCATTGTCAGCACTTGGAATACAAAATGGTTGCCGTGTCATGTTAATTGGGAAGAAGGTAAATTGCTTTTTCCACTAGAATACCTGAGAATCAAATGACTAAGGTCTTTTATACACATTTCTATTTAAAAGGCCAACCTGGGGACCCAGATTCTGCATTAGTGAAATAGGTCTCTCTAAATACGTGTAGCTCCATTCATTTGATAGGGTTACTAGTTTTGTTATTCTCATGCTCTCCCACTCCTGTTGGTTATGGCTTTTGTTCTGGGAATTAGGAACAGTTATGCTGCTTTAGTAAAAGCTCTTATGTTGATGGTGGAATCTCAATCCAGTTAAAATGGGGCCTGAATCAGGCCTTACTCACTTGGAGGGATTTGCAAGAGAACTTTTTGTTAAAATAAGCCTATAGATTTTTTAAATTTCTTTTTAAAAACTTTTTTTTAACGTTTTTTATTTATTTTTGAGACAGAGAGAGACAGAGCATAAGTGGGGGAGGGGCAGAAAGAGAGGAATCCAAAGCAGGCTCCAGGCTTTGAGCTGTCAGCACAGAGCCTGATGTGGGGCTTGAACCCACAAACTGTGAGATCATGACCTGAGCCAAAGTTGGATACTTAACCAACTGAGCCACCCAGGCACCCCCAGCCTATAGATTTTTTTTTTTTTAAATAGTTTATTGTCAAGTTGGTTTCCATACAACCTCCAGTGCTCATCCCCATAAGTGCCCTCCTCCATGCCCATCACCACCCCTCCCCCCACACCCATCAGTCCTCAATTTATTCTCAGCATTCGAGAGTCTCTCATGGTTTGCCTCCCTCCCTCTCCCCCACTATTTCCCCACTTCTTCTCCCCCACGACCCTCCGTTAAGTTCCTCCTAATCCTCCTATACGTGCAAACATATGGTAGCTGTCCTCTGCCTGACGTATTTCGCTCAGCATAACACCTTCAAGTTCTATCCATGTTGCTACACATGGCCAGATTTCATTCTTTCTCATTGCCATGTAGTATTCCATTGTATAGATAAACCACATCTTCTTGATCCATTCGTCAGTTGATGGACACTTAGACTCTTTCCATGTTTTCAGCCTATAGATTTTTAAAATAAGTACTCTGCAAATCTCACCTCTTTCACTAAAACCTCCTATAGGAGAAAACCCTTTTTGGCCAGAAAGAAAGGTTCAGACTAAAGAACTGAGGGAGGAAAAGAGCCAGTTGGTGAGGACAGTAGCCCTTGGGGTAACGAGTGAGGTTTATGGCCAGCCTTGCATTGTGACACAGTGGAATTGTTGGTCATAGGAAGTTTTCTTATTTTGAGTGAGGAAGCTGATTCAGAGTGGAGAAAGAGCAGAGACAGCAAAGTGGAGGTGGAAAAAGAATCCAGTTCAGCTGCAGAACAGCCAAGAGATTGGCACTTAGGATTTGGCCACAAAGAAGAATGTGATCAATTTGAGATAGTGTAAAAGCAGGAAGCCACTGGCCTTGACTACTAACTGTTTAGATGAGAGAAGGAGAAATATTCTAGGTTTCTTGCTCAAGGGTCACGGGGAATAGTTCTGAGCAATGGGCAAAACATAAGGGTTGAGTTTGAAGAAGCTATAGAACCCCTAATTCCTGGGGTATGTGGAGCCAAGCCTGATTCAAGTCCAGTTCCACCTCTTTGGGGTTGTGTGATCTTAGGTTACTTTATATTAACCAGTTTCATCATCAAAAATGCGACTTTCGTCACTGGGTTGTGGTAAGGTTTAAAATAATAATACAGGTAAAGTGTTTAGTGCCTGGCATTAATGTTGAGGAAACGCTTAACAAAAGTATTCATCGTTGTCATCATCATCATCATATTAAATGGGAGAGCTCAGTTGGTGGGTGACACTTAGGAATTCATTTAAAGGAATGGTAGAATTCCACCTGTCTCACCGTTCTGGACTCCTTACAGGTGGTCACTGTAATTTGTTCCCTCTTGAGGTAAGTCTGGAGTTGGCTATGGATCAGCCCCAGGTTTAGGTTGAATCTGGCACTTGGGTCGGCTCCTTCCTCCCAACCCAAGCTGTCAGGGCCCCTGGCCAAATGTTTACATAGTATCTACTCTCTAGAGTGTTTGTGAGGAGAAAAGCCTAATGTGTAATCCTCCAGCTTGCTTTCCAAGAAGCAGTAGAGTTAAGGCTTTTTTTTTCCGAGCAGAGTGTATAGCCCAGTTCTGGTCAGATTTTTTTCTTTTCCAGACAAAAGCTACGGTTCTTGGTGATTATTGACTTTATTTTATTTTTAAACATTTTAGAACAGCCCAGAGGAAGAGGTTGAACTCAAGAAGTTGAAAGATTTGGAGAAGTCTGTGGAGAAGATAGCTGACCAACTGGAAGAACTGAATAAAGAGCTTACTGGAATCCAGCAGGTCACTGTCTTGGCAGAAATTCAAATGTGTGGTTACCAGGGCAGCTTCTCTAGTCAGATTCCCTGGGTTCAGATCCTGGCTTGACCCTTTCTATTACTTTGGGCAAGTGTGCCCTATCTCAAGTTCCTCACCTGTAAAAAGATAATAATGATGGTACCTCCTCTTAAGGCTGGTGTGAGGATTTAACAATGCAGTATGAGGGGCTCAGTTGGTAGAGCATGCCACTCTCGTCTCGATCTTGGGATTGTGAGTTCAAGCCCCACATTGGGCGTAGAGCTTACTTTAAAACAAAAAATTATGAAATAAAATGATGTACTTTGAATCTGACACATACTAAGTGCTTTATTAGTATTACTCTCATTGTTATTTTTACACCCTGGCCAGCATCCATTTGTGCTCCTTGGGGGGACACCTGCCATGTATTATCTGAAATGGAGCAGGTAGCTTCTCTCAGTCCAGTCTGTTATAATGTGTTTGGAAAGGCAAAGAACATTTTGTTAGGCATAAAAGGTCCATGTTGCGCTTGATCTTAGGGGATGGTCATCCTGTTCAATTTCTTCTATTAGAGAAGAGGTACAGAAACCAAGTAAGGATTGTGAACAGCCCCAAATCACATCCCTCCCCCCTCAGTTTATAACATTAATAGATGTATGTTTCTGTTTTAATTGCAAAAGCAATACATGCCAATTGTATATAACTTTTAGGTAAACATATGGGCACTAATACCTGTAAGGCCCTGACTCAAAAGATAACCAATCCTGGGATACCTGGGGGGCTCAGTTGGTTAAGTGTCTGACTCTTGAGCTCAGCTCAGGTCATGATCTCGCAGTTTGTGAGATGGAGCCCTGCAGTGGGCTATGTGCTGACAGCATGATTCCTGCTTGGGATTCTCTCTGCATCTCTCTCTCTTTCTCTCCCCAAATAAATAAACTTAAAAAAAAAAGACAACCAATACTAAAGACTGGGATATATTTTTGCATCTTAAAAAAATTGATATAGTGTTGTGTACACTTTGCAAATTGTTGTTCTATTAGATTTAAAAAAACAACGTTTTCATATGTCATTAAAAATGATCATACATACTGGGGTGCCTGGCGGGCTCAGTCGGTAGAGCATGTGACTCTCTGGGTTGTGGGTTTGAGCCCCATCTTGGGTGTAGAGACACTTAAAACAAAAATAAAATCTTAAAAAAAAAAGGTCATGTATTTGGAAACTTGCATATGTATTATGGTTTACTCAACCAATTCTTTATTGTTCATCAACCTAATGCTACTTTATCATTATGCATTAATGCTTCTCTGAACATCCTTGGACATAAATCTTTTTTGACCACTTCTAACTTTTTTTGGTAGCATAAATTCTCTCACTTGAAATTGCTGGTTAATGTTTAGAGCCTTTACTACATGTGGTCAAATCTGCATCTTTGATAAACATCCTTCAAGATCCCTGCTGTCCACCTGTTGTCACCAGCTAACTGGTCACTGGGCCAAGCAATGTGAATAAACAGCAAGACAGTTTAGCAAGAATAATGTAAATGCTGCCATTTGTTTACACAGGTCTGTGTCAGAAATTATTTTAAGAGTTTACATATATTCCTCTTTATCCTCATAGTAACCCCCAGGGGTGAGGTATCATAATCCCTATATTAAAAATGAGGACATTAAGGCTCAGATAGGTTAAGTAACTTGCTCAAGATCATGAGCAAGTAAAGGGTAGTCAGAATTCAAGCCTGGGCCCATTAGACTTTAAACCTTGTGTTCCTAATGTCTGCCTCCTATGTGTGGGTATACACTGGTGACTGGAGGCTTCACTCAGGAGGCATTTGCAGTCATGTGAGATAGAGTGGACTGCAGCCTGTTACAGTGCATGGAGTGACCCTGGGCCAGCTTTTTTGTTTTTATCCAAGAGATGAAGTTGCGAGTCTAAGGTGTGGCCCAGCGTACTGGGGGGCTGTAGGCTCAAGGTGTGGCTGCTTTATCATTGCCTTGGCATGGAGTTTTCTGTCAGCCTCAAGGACAATAATGCATTATTCCTGCACAGGGTTTTCTGGCGAAGGATTTGCAAGCTGAAGCTCTCTGCAAACTCGATAGGAGAGTAAAAGCCACAATTGAGCAATTTATGAAGATATTGGAAGAGATTGACACACTGGTAAGTATTCAGCTGAGAAGAACTAGTTTCCTTTGAATACGTTTCAGTCAGTTTCAGTCTTTCAGTAATAAACTCTTATTGTGTGAGGATATTGAGCACCCACTGTGTGCCAGCACTGCCAGTCGTTGATGGATACACAAAAAGATAAGACAGTTCCTGGTTTTTAGGCACTCACATCACACTAACCTAAGGCTTCTGTCAATTTTATTTATGTACACTAATAGCATCCAGTCCTTGCAAAGTTGGGACCCAAATGGACTCTGATTTTATAGTCAGAGAAACACAGGGCTCCGCTTTCCTGATACTCCTGTGACTGGCGTCATTAGCTGGTCAGAATTCAGTTAGTGTCCACTCTTATGAGACTGTTGGGCCTCATCAAGTCCATGTTCCCTTCTGCAAAGTAATGGTAATGGTATTTCTAGCCTGATGCCTCTTTTTTTTTTTTTTTTTTTTTTTTTTGAGAGACAGAGACAGAGAGTGAGAGGGGTTGGGGCAGAGAGAGAGGAAGACACAGAATCCGAAGCAGGCTCCAGGCTCTGGGCTGTCAGCACAAAGCCCAATGTGAACTCATGAACTGCAAGATCATGACCTGAGCTGAAGTCAGATGCTTAACAGACTAAGCCCCCCAGGTGCTCCTGATGCCTCAGTTTTGAGGGTGAATTTCTCTGCTTGGGATTCTAGGGGAGTTAGGGGTTTGTAAAGAAGAAGCATAGTGAGCTCATGGTGTGGCCAGGATATACATAGGAAATAGAGAAAGGACAAAGTCTGTATAACAGATCAGTGTCTATGGCCCAGACACTGAGACAAAGGGAGCTTTTATAGAGGTGAGAGCCATGGAAAGGGCCATGTAAGATACAGACCAAGGGAATCATTCCTGAAAATTCATGTCTCATTCATGCTGGTGACTTAAGATGCATTTGGTGTACTGTGGGTATTCTATCATGTTATTATGCCATTTTTACTGAGATCATTTATGTATCAATGTATTCTTCCACAGATTCTGCCAGAAAATTTCAAAGACAGTAGACTGAAAAGGAAGGGTTTGGTGAAAAGGGTTCAGGTGAGTTGTATGGTCAAATGTTACAAGATTTAATATGCTTCTGTGTGTGTGTTTATCTGTTCAAAGTAGGGTAGGGTAGAAGTGTGATGTGTGGTGTGGACTTTTTTTTTTTTGGTTGTTATTTCATGAGCCCAGAACATAAGAGAAGAGCTCCTTTCATATCCCTGTAATACTATTTGGATTTAAACTAACTGGGGAGGAAAATCACACAATTCCAGGAGACACTATTCATGTGAATACCACTCCCTGAAATTGCACATTCACAGTGGCAAGCCTTTCTGTCCTCACCACCTTCTGGGGGTTGTTGTCAGAAACCCTGGTTCTGTGCCGCCTCTGCCCTCACCCTCCACTTACCTTAGAGCCAGGCCAGCTCCATCCCTACACAGCCTGTTTTGAGTCAGTCACCCACAGGTTCTCCACAATGGCTGAGCAAAGAGCCTTGCACGGGCGGGGATTGGCTAGCCCAGGATGGTCCCTCACTGCCCAACATTTGTGTTTCAGGCATTCCTAGCAGAGTGTGACACTGTGGAACAGAACATCTGCAGGGAGACAGAGCGGCTACGGTCCACAAACTTAGCTCTCGCCGAGTGAGGTGAGGCAGAGAGAGCGTGTGCTGCCCTGAAGAACAGTGCCACCACCTCTGTCCTTTTTGGAATAGAAGTGACCTGATTTTTCCAGGGCCACTGGGGACAATTGACCGGTTGCCAATTTTCTTGCTCCTCTACCTGTTCTCAATGAACAAGTATTGTCTGCAATCTTCAGTAGAGCTCCTGTCTGTTTTCTCATTCTGTCTCTGTATGGCTGTGCTGTCCCACAGCCCACCTTGTCCGGAGAGGGCCTCTCCTGCCCAAGTCTTCCCGGCTCTTTTGACCTTTGGGTGCTTTCTTTGGGCTGGAGAGACCTCTCGTTTGGGTTTATAGGCCACCCCATCTTTAGATACATGAGGCTTTTTTGCCCTTGTGATTCTATAGCCTGTAGATGTAACCCAGAATCACCAGGAGGTTACATCTAGTCAGGAATGTTGGGAGTAGCTCAGAACAGGTGTTTTGCATGTGGGGTGGTCCAAACATCCCTCGTTGTAACCTGATTCTGGCACAGCTGGCTGGGCTGTTGGTTCACAGACCCTGACCTCACTTCCCAATGACCCTGCCCAGCCACAGGCCCTGAGATCTCAGAGGCCTATTCCTGGGTGGGGCTTGTATCGATGCTTGGACTTCCTTGTCCTCAGATAAATCTCTAGAAGGTTAAGGCTAGTGTTGACTAAAGCTCTGCTTGAAACCAGGCCACAAGTATGGTTTGGTGGGGGCAGAGAAGAGTCACAGTGAGGCAGGTGGTGAAGGCATCCGGAAACTTCTCAGGAGTTCCTTCAAAGGCATTTCTGTTTCATTGTACCCTTCTGAGTTTAGTATTTCCCTCAAGGCTGTTCCTGATTTTTTGTGGCCTTTTCCCCCTATATTGTTATTTTCTTTTAAAAAAGCAGTTATGTACACATCAGCAAGCAAAAGAATATTTTAACTTTTCTTGATGAAGTATGAGAAGCAAAAGCCTTGTGTGGTTCTAGCTGTAATTTATGTTTAATAAGGTTGAGAGAGCTCTGTATGCTAGAACTCTTAACCGGGTCGGCTGCCTTCACCCCGGGTTTTCCCACAGTGCGCAGGAGATTGGCTTCCAACAGTCCACTCTGAAGCTGACCTTATGTGGCTGAGAGGGAGTCCTTGAAGCCCCAGGAATTTAGGGCTGTGCGGGCGGGGCCTAGGACAAGATAGTGGTGGGGGAGTGAGGTGGTGGACAAGTGGATGAGGCTCTGCCCTGCCCAGCCCACCTCACACTTTAATCAGCAGTTCAATATTTGTCTGTTTTTATACAGTAGCCACATAGCCCTGTGGTGTGGGGCCAAAACGTGCAAGGAGAAGTCCCTGTGCGCCAGGTGCTGGTCTAAGTTTTTGAGGTGTATTTAGTCATTTAATCCTTACACATTCTAGGAGGCAGACAGATACTCTCCCCATGTTAGAATGTGAGGAAGCAGAGAGCTCAGGTAATTTCTCAAAGTCATAAATGGCAAGGGCAGGATACAAAGCTAGGTGGTTTGATTCAGAGTCCACCCTCTTAATCTCCACTGTACTGCCTGACAATATGGGCTTTCTCACTCCCTTTCATCTTCTCTCCCCCCCCCCCCCCCCCCCCCCCCCCCCCCCCGTGTCTCTCTCGTTGATCTCCACTTCCCCTCTGGCCCTCTGCAGAGCAGCTTGAGTGGTCATAAAGTACAGATCTTACCATGTCAGTACCCATAGGATGAAGGCCAAGGTCCTGCCTGGTGTGCTCTCTCTGTCGTCTCAGGCCACTCTCCTGTTTGCTGTCTGCTCTTGGGCACACAGTCTCCAGATGCTCTGTGCCCTCTCCTCTCTTGGGGTCTTTGACGCTGTCCATTTGGACAGCTCCTCACCATCTCTCTCCGTCCTTACCCCACCCCTTTCCTAGGTATCTGAACATCCCTTGAACTTAAGTCAAATGTCTCTTCCATGGAGAAACCTCACCTACTGTCCGAGAACACATCAAACCCCCAGGCGATATCGCTTCCCATTTTGCCATAACTTTTCTTTATGATAAATAGCATGATAAACCATGTTGATTTATTTGTGGGATTATTTGATTAATATTTACCTTTAACCCTAGACTCTCTAAGTTCCTTGGGTTAAGGAGCTTCTTTGTCTTGTTAACAGCATATTCCAAGCACATTGTCTATTTATAATGGGTGCTCAATAAATATTTGGAGAATGAATGGGTGAATGTTGAACACACACATCTTCAGTGAAATTCCCACAGCTGCTCTCAGCCACTGAAGCTCTGTCAGCACCGGAATTTACAGCATCAACAGCCGTTGTTTTATTTAAGGGTGGAGAAGAGAGGCCCTGAGGCACACGCTGCTGGGCAGGTGTGCAGGGTGGTGACTGGGGTCTGTGCACAAGGCCCACCCACATAGATCTGCACATCCACAGGGTATCTCTGCCTGAGATACCATCGTCCACTTTCCCAGGACACGGTGACTCCTACTGCGGGGGAACAAATGGGGCTCTGTGATCCCACAAACATCTTTTAGCCTCACAGAGCTGGAAAAATCCTCCCATACATTGTCTGTGTAGTCAACAATTTCTACTTATTCTTTAAGACAGAGAGTAAAGGTTACCTTCTCTGAGAAGCCCTTCTTCAGGACTGGTAGTCAGGACTCTTAGTTGAAAGCACCAGAAACCAAATTCCAAAAAGACTGTCGAAATAGAAATTTTGGCAGGATGTCTAGTTACCCATGTAACTTTGGAACATTCAAGGGCAGTTGGGCTTCAGGAACTCAAATAAACCTGGAATTACTCTCTGTATCTCTCTCTCTCTCTCTTTTTTATTTTGAGAGAGAGAGTGTGTGAGAGTGGGGAGGGGCAGAGAGAGGGGAGAGAATCTCAAGCAAGCTCCACACTGTCAGCACAGAGCCCGATATGGGGTTTGAACCCACAAACCATGAGATCATGACCTGAGCCAAAATCAAGAGCCAGTCGCTCAACTGACTGAGCCACTCAGGTGCTCTCCCTCTCTCTCTCTCTTAAACTTTTTTTAATGTTTATTTTTGAGAGAAAGTATGAGTAAGGGAGGGACAGAGAGAGGGACAGAGGATCTGAAGTGGGTTCTGCACTGACAGCAGCAAGCCAGATGCAGAACTTGAACTCATGAACTGTGAGATCATGACCTGAGCTGAAGTTGGAGATTCAACCGACTGAGCCACCCAGGTGCCCTGTATCTTTCTTCGCATGATGGTACCATTCTCTCAATCCTACTTCTTCCACAAAGTAGGAAACATGGCTGTCAGCAGCCCCCATTTCATACATCTTACAGCTTCATTACCAGAGAGGAATTGATTGCTCTTCTTATTTTCAACTCAAAAAATCCTGGAGAAGAATCTTGGCCAATCAGTAATGGCCAGGGAAGCAGTGTCACAAGCCACAGATAGGGCCTTTAGGGGCCCACAGTTATGTTTCCAGAGACAGGGCCAAGTTTCCACATCTGTAAGGTGGGGAATTAGGTATTACTTCCAGTGTGGTGCCTGGGGCCTGGCACGTTGTTCAGGCATAATCTTTGAGATTCCTGATGTGTGAAGGCCTGGCAGGGGGGAGGGTCAGTGAGGGGAAACTTGACTGAGAAGCTATATCACTTGAGTGTAAGTATGGTTCCCCACTTAGGGCACAAGCTTAGATATCACCAATATTTACGCTCCTTTAGTAAGTGAACTGATTTTCAGCTTAACGCATGGCCAACCAGATAGCATTTTTTCACAGTTTTATTGTGCCAGCATGGCCAAGCGACTACATTTTAGCCAATGGGATATAAATAGACTGTGTACATCTTACTGGAAGTGTCTTCAGAGGCAGTAGAGCACCCTTCTCTACCTCTCTGTGGACTGGAATGTAGACATGATTGCTGGCGTTGGAGCAGCTGTATTGTACACTGAAGAGGAAACTGATGAGGATGGCAGAGTAACAATATATAAGGAACATGAAGGTAGCATACCACATAGGTCTATGTGTTAGAGAAATTAACTTTAAGCCACTGTTACTTTGGCTTTTGGTTTCTCACAGCCAAATGTAATACAGCATCATTCCTAGCAGGAGAGGAGCAAAAGTTTCTGTTACCAGTAGCAGTAGTAGGGCCTATAGGTAACCTCCCAGTCCCTGCCACCTGCAAATCTATCAGCAACAATTCCTGCCTGTGTCCCCATTTCTGTTGTCTGGGGAATGCTGATTCCTGCCTTTCCTGCCCCCACTATCTTCCCAGTATGTTTTCCCACAGCACATTTCCTGCTCTCTCTGCCCACCCTAAAGCAGGAATCTGGGTCCATGTGACACTGCTTCTACTAGTCAGACTCCTCTCCACACTCTTTTCTTCTGCCACCATTATCAAGTGGCTCCTTCTTTGGCCAAAAGAGGGTATATTTGACATGGACCACAGGCTGGGGCTGGATTTCTGGATGCTGTGTGTTTTCGTGGGCCATTGTATAGGTCCATGTATGCTGTGTGTGCCTGGGGCTGTGTCCAGTGCCAACATACTTAACAGTCAGAATGGATGGTGACCAAAAGAACAGAGTGAGGTCTGGAAGTCATCTTCCTGAGGGTGACCAGGGTGTAGGGGGACACTCAAAGGCTTGGGGCAGCTATTTTTAACTGTTATAAAACTAGGTCACTATTTTAACAAGTAGCTCAGATATATTGTATATACTACCTAGATATCAGCTGTGGTGATATCAGTGTGTGTGTGTGTGTGTGTGTGTGTGTGTGTGTGTGTGTGTGTGTAAGAGTTGGGGTGCTGGTACAGCCCAGGGAGAAGGCACTGAGGGGTGTAGGACTCTCCCAAAGGCTGAGACATATCCTCAGGCAGTAGTAGACGGTACATGCGTCCCCTAAGTTCTTGACCTTAGTGACAAGCAGGCTGGGGCAGACAAGTGCGTTGGGGACAGGGGCTGACCTCTACAACAGGGCCAAAGATACTTGGGACCTCTTGGGGGACAGGTGACAGCGTTGAAGAGCGCTAGAGTGATGGAGAAGACATCAGATTCAGAGTAGGGAGGTCAGGGCAAAATCACCCGCCCCCCCCCCCACTCAAACCACCACCCACCTCACCAGAATCCTCAAAGCCGCTGGCCCACTTGGTTGATTTAGACTGGATCTTTTATTTCATGTCACCTCCCCCACTCCTACCACTCTTCTCTAGCCTGAAGCTTCATGGCTTAAGAGGCTGCTATGGGGTCAGCATTTGCCATCCATGATCTGGATGTCCTATTTGGTTTTCTTAGGATCACAGGAGACAAAGATGAGGCCATCTCCTCAAGGACTAGAACATACCCTTCAGGGACCCTGCCTGGTCCTGTCTATCCAGAGACTCTCCTGAGATCTCTCCCCCCAACTCCCCACCCCATGCAGGTGCAAGGCAGGTCCTGGAGGTCCCTGGGCACATCCCTCTATAGCTTTTCCTTCTTGCAGGAGATCTGAACTTTCTGGGATTTTGTCTACCACTGCATACTGATGGCTGCTGAATCTATCTCCAGCCCTAACTCTGTCTTGAACTCTAGCCATACCTCCACCAGCCTGTCCCAGAGGCTCAACTGTCCATAGACCTCAATGCCCCACAAACTGCCTAGACCCCCACTTCCTCCCATCTGAGGACAGTGTTCTGCTGATCTCCTGCACTCTCTGTCGAGAGTGCTATAGCTTCTAAAGACTATTCTCTCTTCCATGATCCTGCTTAGCTCTGGCCCAGCTCAAGGGTTTTGGTTTGTTGTTGTTGTTGTTTTTTAAGTGTAATTTATTTTGAGAGACAGAGAGAGTGTGTGAGTGTGAGTGGCGAGAAGCAGAAAAAGGGGAAAGAGAGAATCCCAAGCAGGCTCTGCACTCCCAGAGCAGAGCCCAACATGGGGTTTGATCCCACAAACTACGAGGTCATGACCTGAGCCAAAATCAAGAGTTGGATGCTTAACCAACTGAGTCTCCCAGGTGCCCCTCAATGGTTTTATTAATGAAGAAAAGAGACCAAATAGGTGATAAGCCATACCAAGGTCACATTCAAGCCCTTCTCACCTCTTAAGACTCATTTCTTGCCTCTCCCCACTCTGCTTTAAACTTTATACTCCAGAATATACAATTTCTTATATTTTCCAAATACAAACTTTTCTTTCCCTTCTAGACCTTTCCAAACCTATTTCACTACTTGGAATTGCCTTTCCTTGTTCCTTCTTTTCCAGGCTAATTTCAACTTATCTTTCAGAGCTAGGAAGTCGTCCCTGCCCCCACCTAACCCTTGAACATTCTATGCCACAGTTGGTTGACCATTAGCTTGGTTTCCCCTTTGGACTGACCATATGCCCCAGAAGGCCAGGGATGCTGTCTAGAGTATGCCCTGGTATATCACCAGTGCCTAGCATATAGTAGGCGCTCAATAAATGATTGTTGGCTGCAGGAATAAATGAACAAATGAAGTCACCTAGTCAGTCAGCTACAGAACAAGGGAAGGAACCCAGGGTTTCTGCAGTGCTCTCCCCCCGACCCCCCAACCTTCTGCCAACTGAGGCTTTGTGCTTGGAGCCATGTGCTTTCTTTGAAATACACTTGTGCTCATTCTATTGGGGGCAGTGTTGGAGGAGTCAGGCCAAGGTGTGTGAAGGAAGAGGTAGGTCAAGTATTCCTCCTTTCAGACTTGAATGTACCAGAGATGGGTCTAGCCAAGAGGAAGGTGTGCGGCAGACTTATAGCCAGGTCAAGCAGAGGTGGCATTCACTTTCCTATGTGACCCCATCAGTGCCACAGACCAGGATGGATGTCTGGAAACAGGCTGGAGATTCTGCCATGTGCTCACAGATGGGCTGTGGAAGAGAGGAAAGGAAGAAGGGCATTCAAGGATTCAGAGGCAGTGAGGAGGGACCCAGGGACTCTGCTTGGAGTCATGGGCTCCAGGGGAGAGCCAGATTCAAGACGGCCCCACTGTTGGTCCAGGAGGCATGAAACTAAACCCTTGTCATGTTTGCTTATGTGTGCGTGCATGACTAAGTGTATGGCTGTGGCCGTGTGCACAAATGTGTGCCTGTGTCTGTATGTGCAGAGTGAATTTATGCCCTCAGGCTTCTGGGGATGGGTTCCCTCTCTTCAGAGGGCCTAACTAGAACCTCTGCTGCTGGTCCCAGTGGGGACCCCAAGAGACAGAACAGCCCAGCAGTCCCAGGGGGCTCCTCCTCACTGAGGGCCCCTCAACTCACTCTGGCCTACATGACCCATCAGGCCTCTGGTGTGGGAAGACTGGAAAAATGAGACAGGGCTTGGGGTGGGAGCATGGGACAGCATAGGGTGAGAGAGGCAGTGCCAGCAGCAGTGACGAGATCTGGAGCCTGAGTTCTGTACTGATTAGCTGTGTAAATTTGACTGAGCCATTTCTACTCTTTAGGCCTCAGTTTCCTCATCTACAAAAACTAAGTAAATAATAGTATTCTTCTCACATAGGGTTAATTGAAATAATGTATGTAAAGTACTTGGTTCCTTGGCACAGTAATAGGCCTCGGTTCTGATGGGCTGAGAATGAACTTGCTGAGGCTGCTGGATGGGAAGGTTTGTGCCTTCTTGTTCATTTACATGAAGGAGGGTGTTGGGGGTCTCAAGGAGGCCAGGCCAGCACCACTGCCTTGGGATCCCTGGGGACATCAGACCGAGGGCCGAGGTGGAATCAGGGTTCAGAGACAACTTGGTGTCTGTCCTCCAGAGTGAAGGGATGGATGATGGGCTGTGATTGCGGGAGGCTGGCACACACCAGGGGGCCATGGAGCCTTGGCGTGAACCCCATAGCCTGTCCCATCTGCACTACACAAAGCAGAGAATGCACTCGGTCCTGCTGAGGCTGGGCAGGGGATCTCACTGCTAGCAGGGACATTGGAGACCACGTTGGGGTAGATCTCTCGAGGTCATTGAAGGCAAGTTTGGGACCTTGGCAAAGGGGCTGAGCCAGCTCGGCCTGGAAGGGCTAACCTAGGGAACATGCAGGCTCAGGAGCCATGCTGGCCTGGGAGCCATTGGAGTTATCTGAGCAGGAGTATAAAGAAGAAAAATGATTTCCTAGCACAGGTACAGAAGGAAGGCCAGAACAGCAGCCCTGGGGCTAAAACTACAAGCTGCTGCCTTACCATTCTTGAGAAAGTGAGCTCTTCCTCTGCAGACACTGGCACTTCTGAAAGGAAAACATGCAAGAGTTAGGTGATTATGGTTCCAGGCAGCAGGTCTGGAGTCTGAGAACTGCTTCAGGAGACCTGTTCCAGCTACTGCCCAGTCTGGAATTCCTCAAGGAAAGGTAGAGTCACCAGACAGTGGGGCCCCCAGAAAGCTGATGTGACCTTGGGTTGCTAGAATAGAGACACAAAATCTAGAGTTGGGGAAGTGATGCTCCAGCCTGTTCCTTATTAGTCAGATCCCACTGGGATTGTTAAATCCCATATAATAATGAAAAGAATTCAGGTACTGTGTACCAGGCATCGAGAATACATGATCTTAATTAACTAGTCTTCACATCTCTATCACTATTACGTAACAGGGAGGAAAAGGAGGCAGTAGTAGATGCTGTGGTCTGCTACGCAGATCCCACGTGCAGGACTGAGGTGCTCATTTCCTCAGCTGCTGGGGGTATTGCCCACTCCCAGCATGTCCTTTCCTAGGAATTACCCTCAGAACAGAGCTGCGTCACCTATGTTTGCATCCCCTACCCAGGAACAGCCAATATCCAATGACAAGTTGATGTTGGTACAATGGCCAAAAACACCTCATATCTATTCAAAACAATGTGGAAGGGCCACCCCAGCTCCAAAGCTCCTTGTGGGATCATTGGAGGCTTCTGTCGCACAGCATCACAACTTTCCTCATCCCTTGGGGGTGTACCCTATGAGCACACCCCAAGACACGGCATGCCCATCCGTGCCTGCTTCCCGGGGAATTGCCCAACCTAGGAAAGAGGCTTAGAAGGTAAAGCAAAGCAGTTTGTCAAGGGCAGAGCTGGGATTGCACACAGGTCTGTCACTCCCCAGCCTGTTCTTGTCTCATACGTAGTTATGCCACCCAACCCTCCATGGTCTAGGTACACTGCTTGCACATGAACAAACTGGTATGACTGGCAAATATGACAGGTGCAAGGAGGAACGGAGCCACATCTAATGCCATAGGTGGAAAGTAAGGTGTCCACATGAATTGGAGAAGGGCAGGATGCTTCCTGAAGTCTGAAGGGCTGTCCTGGGGCCAAGGGAGAGACAAGCTCTTCTCAACCTCACAGGGCAGAGCCCATTTGTGCAAGGAGACTGCAGGGAGGCAGGTTTGAATTTTAGAATTTTCTCTCAGTGGAAACATACCTCTGCAAAGGAGGCTGGCTGCAGAAGTGGAGAGTTCTCCATCACTGGAAGTGTGACCACCACTGTGGTTTTAGCTTTCCCTGAGGTTGCCATTTTAAATGATTTCCAAGGTAGAGAGGGAGGAGGGAAGTGAGCTGGAGTGACCTCTGATGTGCTGTTTAAGCATCAGGACAGTTCTCTTTCTGTTTGCTCACTGATACATCTTAAGGGCCCAGAACATTGGCTGATACACAGTAGGTGTGAGACTGGAGAGGGGCTCCAGGGCCTGAGGAGGCCCCACTCCAGCTGCATGTGTCTAGCCTGGGACAAGGGCTCCCCTGGGTGCACACAGCTGCTGTCTGTCCCACAAGCACAACCTGTCACAGCAGACAGGAGCTCAGAGGACCCAAGCCAAGATTCCTTCAGCACCCACCACCTTGCAGCCGGAAGACTTACCTGTTTCCTGAGATAAGCCTGCTCTCTGCTGCCTCTTCTATCTCTCACCAAGTAGTTGCTGAGAGAAGCTTTGAACTAGGACAACTTCCTATGCTACAGCTGGAGAAACAGAGGCCCCAAGAGAGGAGGGATTTTTGCAATTCTGGGCCAGAGTCAGGATTTGAACCCAGGTTTCTTTTCTCCTAGCCCAGGGCTTTTCCCACCACAGTGGAGAGATACAGAAAGAGGGTATATGCAGAAAACTGAGGCCTCACAGGGTGCTCTAGTTCCTGTCTCCGCCACAAGCTCATCTACTAACACCAAGCCACAGAGAATCCAGACTCTGTCCACTCACCCATGTCCACAATGAGGAGGGCGACCATGGCCAGAGTGACTACCTACAGGCGGACGGCCATGCTGACCCTGGGCTGACTAGTCCTGGCTGGATGGGGCCTGGGCCAGGGCAATGATCGGGGCCTGTTTACAGGGCTGATCCCCACCCTTATCTGGGACCAGATGGAGAGGCCAGGAGCATCATCCAGAGAATATCTGCACCCTGGCATCAGAGATACTGAGCCTATGGTGGCCTGGAGCTGTGCCTATGGGGCTGGCAGATTTCCAGAGTGAGGAAAGTTTGGACAACGTAACAAAGCTAACACCAATCTGAGGGCTGGAGCAAGTGGGAGAAGGAAATTGAAGTAGAAAAACAGAGAGAAACCAAGTCAGAGACAGAGGGAGATGGACAGACAGGCAGGTCAGCAGGAAAAACAAAAAGTAAAGCAGCCACTGAAAGGCGAAGAGGTAGGGAAAAGGGGCTGGAGCCATGGGTTCCTCTGCCGGTGCCTGCACTAACCAACTCTGTGACCTCAGAACAAACACCTTCCTTAACTAGGCCTCAGTTTACCCATGCACAAAATAAGGAGGCAGTTCTGACTCTGTCTCCCTTCTGGGGCTGCTGTGAAGAAGGGAGTGGGAATAGCAGATGGGGAAATGTTTTTGCAGAGGATGAAGTGGGGTATAAATATAAGTGAAATGTTCTTTTTGGGGCACCTGGTGACTTCAGCTCAGGTTATGATCTCACAGTTCACGAGTTTGAGCCCCACATCGGGCTCTGTGCTGACAGTTCAGAGCCTGGAGCCTGCTTTGGATTCTGTGTCTCCCTCTCTCTCTGCCCCTCCCCTGTTCATGCTCCCATCTCTCTGTCTCTCAAAAATAAACAAACATTTAAAAATAATAAAAATAAAGAAATGTTCCTTTTACTCCCTCCCCACCATGAAAGAGCACAACTTTCATGACACAAGGTGGAGGAGGGGGAGGCAGAAAATGTAAAGAAGATGTGTTCATGCCTTTCATGCCATTTGCATTTTAATGGCTTAAATAGACAAGATTCTTTTCAAAAAAATCAGTATCTAAAACTCCCCCATACTTATAAAATATATATGAATGAGATATTTGGTTATTTGCTTTCAAAGAATTTTCTGATTTATAAAACAAAATAATGAAATGTTATTATATATGCGCTTTTCTAATTAATTTAGATCAGTGATTTTTAGTTCCATTGACAGATTCGATTTCCCTGGAGAGAATTTAAAACTACAGGTGCTGAGGTGCCTGGGTGGTTCAGTCGGTTGGGCATCTGACTTTGGCTCAGACCATGATCTCATGATTCAGGAGTTCAGGAATTTGAGCCTGGTGTCAGCCTGGCATCAGGCTCTGTGCTGGCAGCTCAGAGCCTGGACCCTGCTTTGGATTCTGTGTCTCCCTCTCTCCCTCTCTCTCTGCCCCTCCCCCACTCATGCTCTGTCTCTGTCTCTCTCTCCCTCAAAAATAAATAAGGACACCTGAGTGGCTCAATTGGTTAAGTATCCGACTTCAGCTCAGGTCATGATCTCACGGTTTGTGAGTTCAAGCCCCACATCAAGCTCTGTGCTGACAGCTCAGAGTCTGGAGCCTGCTTCACATTCTGTGTCTCCCTCTCTCTCTGTTCTTCCTTCACTCATGCTGTCTCTCTCTCTCTCAAAAATAAATCTTAAAAAACATTAAAAAATTAAATATAAATAAACATTAAAAAACTTAAAAAATAAAACTATAGATACTGAGTCTTTTTCCAAAATGAATCAAAGTTTCAATGTTTTTTAAAATTCTTTTTATTTTACAACATTTCAAGCCTACAGATAAGTTGTAAGAAACTTAAATGAATCAATGGGAAGGATCCTTCTTCAAGAATAGTACTCCAGGCAGCCAGACAGTCACCCCTACAGACTGATAAGAGGTCCCAGATCTGCAGCCACACCCAGTCTCAGGTCCATGACTCATCTTCAAGATGAGGAAGCTCACAAGATCAGGAAGCTCACAGGCCCACAGATGCCTCTGAGCCAGGTGGTAGCTATCCTTCCATTGCTTAGCCAAGCAGGGCAAATATTTAATGACGATTTCCTGTCCTAAAGTAAGAACATTTCATTAATGGGGAGGGGAGGAAACTTTAAAGGTCACTGAGGTCTTGTCTACAATCTTCCTCGTGGACCTTCCTACAGCAGCTCTGCCAGGAAGTCATTCATCCTCTAGAGAAGAGAAGCTCACTACCTACCAGTTTCATCATTGCATGGCTTTTAACTGAGTCCTTCCTCACACAAATGGTCTGTTTCTCTGAGACTCCTTGGGGGAGTCCCAGCTCTGTCCTTAAGCCTCCTGCACTGACATGAACCACAGTGAGCACCTCCAGGCTAAGCAGGTCAGGCCCCTTGCCTGTCCCCATCCTTCCACATGATGAAGCTCTTGGGCCTTTCTGCATTTCTCATCTGGTCCCCAGGTCTGCCTGCCAGTGATCCAGGTTAGAGTGAGAAGGGGACAGAGGGAAACAAAGGAGTTTGTCACCTCCCTTGTTTTTGGACCTTAGGCCTTTATCAATATGGCAGGAAGGTCTGTTGATGCTTCTAGATGTTTCAAGGGACCAAGCACCCTGAATTCGACATCCTTTAAAGTTCAGAGTAAATTCAAGGGCAGCCTGTGGGGTGCCGAGCCCACCTATCATCCTCCCTGCCCAAAGTCTCTTTCCTTGGTCAAATACTTCTTGGATTCACTCATAGTGATAAACTTCAAATATGTCCTCTCACCAAAATAATGAACCTGAATTCCTATATTCAACTGCTATTGGACAGCACTCCTATAGATGTCAAGGTATACAAATAAACCTCATCCATTAATGCAGAATTCATTCATTCACTCAACAAGAATTTAATAAGCAGCTAAGCTCCATGCTGAGTGTTTGGACACAGCAAAGAATAAGTCAGACACAATTCCTGCCCTCAAGCAGCTTGTCAGGAAGTGGATGGGTGACTGGTACCAGAGCTTTATTATTGCCATTGAAGTAAGTCTCACACATGAGACACGCTCAGTGACTTGGAAGAATCCAAGACTGACCTATCCGTCTGGGAAATCGGAAAAGGCCAAGGGTAAGTGGGCGGGGCAGGCTGCAGCAGAGGGGAACAGTGTTGCAGACAGAGGAAACAGAATGTGTGAGAGCCTGGGGGCAGGAAGAAACTTGGCACATCCAGGAAACAGAGAGAGGCCGATGCAGCTAAAGTGACGTCAGTTGAGTGGACATAGGCACGCAGTGAGTCTGGAATGGTCAGGGAGATCAGAACTCCGCTTCCCACCCCACATCCCACCTTCCAGCAGTGGAATCTAGAAGCTGACTCTGTGACCTTGTTTGGCTTCCCACTGAATATATAGGTGCTGCTTCCTAAGTAGCTGTTGATCGTATAAGCGAGAAGGAGTGAGTCCTGTAGAGATCTGGGGGGAAAGTCTGCCAAGAGAAGTAGCTGCAGGAAAAGGCCCTGGGACAGGAGCAAGTTTGGTGTGCTAAGGAAGTAAATACCAAGGAGTGCAGTATGGCTAGGGTAGAATGAACATGGATGTGAGTGGCAGGAAGAGAGGGCCAGCTCCCCTCACGTCCCAGCCCAGACCAACTTGTTGGGTGAACTTGAGTGTATCCCTTCCTCTTTTTAGGCTTGTGCACATGCTCCGATCTGGGAAATGGGCCCGCTGGTCACTAGTCTGACTCCCAGGGCAGCTGTGAGGACCCTGAAGAGGAGATTGTGAAGTGAGATGTGTGCAGGCCCTGTGATGCCAAGAAAGCAGCTTGAGTGTATATTCCTTTAAGCAGAGCAGAAGCCAAGCGCTCAAGGCCCTATAAGCTGTACATACACTACACAGGTGTTGGGATCAATACAATAAAGACAGAGATGCCCTTAAACTGGGCTCTGGCAGAGTCGCTGCTGGTTCCTCCATCTTTTCCACAGGTCAGAGTGAGGGCTGGGACATGCGCACTGGCTGAGCCAACACCTCCAGGCCTCACCCCACAGCCTTCATGCTCTCTGCTGTCTTGGATCGAGCCAAGGATTATAGCCCCTCATCAATGATGACAATGCAAGATCCATTAGGTCTGAGTCACCAGCCCTGCTGTGGGCAAAGGAAACAATGGCCTTGTTTGCTTTAAGGTGGACGAACTGAGCTCAAGCAGGTCTTGGGCTTCCAGATGGCACGCCAACATGGCCAGCCTGCCCCTGGACCGTCTTTCCTGGCCCCTCATCCCACGTCCTCCTCCACCTTCCTCCAACCTCAAGTGCCTCTTGCCTGCACTGAGCATCTAGGTATGGGCACCTTCTCCCAGGAGGCCTGGTCTGGACACAGCCAGCTCTATGGCTTGGCCTGTCCTGGGCTCCTCAGCCACCTGACTCTGTGTCCCAGGTTTAGCCACTTCCCATTCAGCCTGGTCCAAACTGCAGGGCCTTCACACAATGGCAGGAAAAGGAAAGGGCACTCCCCCTACCCCTTTATTTTTTATTTATTTATTAAAACATTTTTTAAAACATTTATTTATTTTTGAGAGACAGAGTATGAGTGAAGGAGAAACAGAGAGGTAGACACAGAATCTGAAGCAGGCTCCAGGCTATGAGCTAGCTGTCAGCACAGAGCCCAACACAGGGCTCAAACCCACGAACCAGGAGATCATGACCTGAGCCGAAGTTGGACACTCAACCAACTAAGCTACCCAGCCAGGCACCCCACCCCTCTACTCCTTTAAAGGGAGATTTCATCTATTTGCTTGGGATCTGACTCCTAGGAGGACTCGGAGATGGCAATAGACTGAAGTCATCCAATCATGGGGGCACCTGCCCTACTATTCAACAGCCCCTTATTGAGTACCTGTTGTTGGGCACAAGTCATTGTGCCAGGTCCTAGGACCGTAGAAATGAAGGGTAAATGGATCCTTATGCTCAAGGAGCTTGCAGTTTGCAAGTAGTGAGGAAATGGAATGGACACACCAGCACTGAACATTTATAAATTTATAAAGGTATTTCTAAAATGCAGCGGTCAGGGAAGTGATGGAAATGGTGATAGAGATACCCCATGGACCCCTCACTAAATATGTCTAAAAGTCAGTTTACTATCTCCTCTCCACCCAGAGAGGCTCCACTTCCCAGTGCCCCCATCCAGGTGGACAACACTACTATCATCCAGGTGCCCTTGGCAGACATGGGCGTCCC